ATTAAAAACCTTTTGCTTTTAGCATTTATTAGTATGAATGCTTGTAGAGAATTGGCTGCTCTTTTTAGTCTCTGCTACGTTCATTAAATGAGTGTTTAGGAGAAGGGGTTGGAGGCAAGATGCCATATACCAACCTTATGGTTACTGTTTTAATTACTTTACTGATAACATTTCAAGAGATGTTCCTTGCTTTTGTGTGGTGGTGTCAGTAGAGAAAAGCTTTTCCTAATGAGACAGAAGAAAGGTCCTTCCTTTTCTCTACTTGACAGTTACCACAGTGCCAGAGTCTGAATTTTATGCAATATAAAATTCAGGATGTGTATGAGCATCTGGACTGTTGGCTTCTGTCTTAGTAATACCTTTGTATATAGCAGTTCATTGATCTGTTGGGTTTTTAAAATAAAACTGGAGAACAGCTCTTTTCCTCCTCAAAACTGTGTTCTAAGAGACATGTCTGTTCCTTGTTCCAGGTAGTTGCAAAAGACTTGGGGTTCAGATGGAACAAGCTGTGTTAATCTCAAAGCCATTTCCAGCATTCAGTCATAACTATTTCTGTTTTAAACTGGGAGAAAAGGATACCTCTTGTTGATGCTCTCAAACAAGAACTTAAAACTTAACTTAAACCTCTGTGCTGTAATGTGGAAGCATAGAGGAGGACTTCTAGTGCACCAGACTCTTTTGAAGTGCCCTTCTTTATCATCTGGCTCGTTTGTTCTGACATGCTGGGTAATTTTTTTTTTTGAAGTACTTCTTCCAGTCAGTAGGAATCACTTGAACTTAATTTTTTTTTTTCCCTTCTCCTTTTTCTTGTGGTGATATTTACCTAAATACAGACCCACCTTCAGGGATAAATAGATGATCGTAACAGGGGAATGAACATGTGCAAACTGTGGCTTGTATCCCACTTCTAAAATATGATGGAGGTTTTTTTAACCAGCAGGACACTTATGGGGAAAGAGGATGTCTGTATCTGGCTAGCACTCTCTGACTCTTTTGCTGTCTTGCAGATATAGCTGATGTTAACCTTGGCTAATGCAGTGTCCTGTAGTATTGTTTTTCCTCTAAATTCAGATATATTCCTGATATATCTTTAAAGTATTTAAAGATAAAAGGCACAGCTTTAGGCCATTCTTAGGTCTATTCTTGCTCTTTAATCCTGAGTTAACTGCTGTGATGGAGTGGATATACCTTTTTTTGTAAAAGACAAATTCGAAGTTTTAGCTCCCAAATTGCTGGTTCAGCAAGAAAAGAAAAATACAGTCATGGCAGCAAATTTGTCCTTGGTGATTTCATATCTATGCTGGTGTCAGGAAACTAATGTGTGGGAAGACAAATCTTGTAAGTCACTTAGTGGCAATTCTGAGTCTGTTGAGGGGCCAGATTTGGCTGGATTTTTACTTCTCATGGCTGTTGGTGCACTCAGCTAAGCAGAAGTCAATGTTCTGTGATGATGTGCCAGCATGCCCTGACCTGTCCCCATGCTAGGAAAGGGAAGGATTCACAAACTTCCCCTATGTATGAGTCCTGCACCTTACAGACTGCTCTATAACAGGAGGACATAGCTGGTACTTGTAGTTTAAGTGAAAACACTTTTTCCTCTGAGCTAAAAGGGTTTCCATGCAATAATCATGTTTTCCTTCTCATCTTTTATTATTCAGGGAAAAGTGTGTGTGTGTGTTTGGGAATATAAGCTTTGATTTTGAGATAGCTTGGCCTAGCTTGATATTCCAAAGATAAGGATGTATAGAAGAGTGCTTTGCTCCAGACCAGTGTGCCCAAGAACTAGAAAAGAGAATAATCCCTACATTTTTTCCCTTTGGAAATTATCTTTGTGTTCACAAACAGTCTCCCAAAGAAAAACAGCTCCTGGCATCTGTGAACTAGACAACACTGATATGGTGACATTTTTCTAGTTGTTGCAGTAGAGCAGTCTGAAGCTGCAAATACCTGACAGTTGCATTTACCTGACCCCGTGCCTGGTGTTGTTCTCAGGTTCCCAGAGATAAAAGGCTGTTGTCTGTTAACAAAGTGAGTGATAATCAAGAAGACCAAGATAAAAGGTACAGTATTATTCAAAATCATACACCCAGCTACTAACAGTGTTGATCAGTTGTGAACTGAAGGAACTATGATAGCCTGAGGATTTATGGTTTTCTTTCAAAAGATAAAAGAGTGAAGGCTGCTTTGGGAAGCAAACTTTACTCCTTTTTACTTTTAATTTATTAGAAAAAATTGAACAGTATTATTAGACATATGATTTGCAAAGTACAGGAAGTTTCACAATTTCTGTTTTGTAGTTTTGCTGCTGCTGAGATTAGTAAAATCAGATTAAATTGACAGTTGGCTATTGGCTACTTTTTTTTCAGTTTTCTTCTACAGCAAAAAGTGAGTAGTTTGGGCTCAGTAACCTGATTTATACAGTTTTATTTAACATAACGTAGGGTCTGCCCAGAAGCAAATAAAGTAACTGTTAAAATAATTCACTCAGAATGTTTTTCTCACTTCTCTCAGATTTCAGCCGCCTTCTGTAGGCTAAAAGTGACCTGAAGAGTCAGAGGAAGCCGACTCCTGCCTTTATTAAGACTTGTGGACAAGAGAGAGTGTGTATTTATGTAGAAAGAACTAAGTTTTTACACATAGGAAGGTATCTTCATGTAAAATTATAGTGGAGAGAAGCTACACAAGGTTTATTTCAATGTAGCTAATTTGGGACAGCCTTAGGTAGTCTCCATGGGGTGTTTAAGGTGTACATTTCACCATTTCAGAAGAGAATATGAAACTTTTTTTGAGGGACAGTTTTTCTTCTGTGAACACCAGAGAAATTCCTAAGTTGAGTGTGATTGACAAAACTGGCCTTCAGTAGAAATCCAAGAGAGAGGAACTGTAATGTCGCAACATATCTCCTGGGTTGAAAACAAAGCAGTGTGTTACACCTACTAAAAATTTTATGAGTTCACAATTTTATGTCAGTGCAACTACTGTCAGCAATCAGATTGCTTTCAACAGCACCACGGGTAGACGTGGGAATGCTGCTGGAGGTTACCTTGCAGCTGCTATAGTTAGTGATCTACTCTGATACAATGGGATTCCTGGGCTTGCTCCTTCAGAAGAGCATTGGTACCAGAGTTACACAAACAGGAGCGGCCTGTCAACAGCCTGAAAGAGCATGGGTCAGCGTATTAATTTTGCAGTTGATATTCTGCCTATTTCACATGCAAATTATCTACTGTGAGTAATCCATACCTCGCCTTACTCTTTATGCTTATTTTGTGCCTAAAGGCTGTTGCACTGGTGGATTGATTTTTGCATCCAAATTATAAGCCAAGGCAAAAGCAACCCTGGATACCCAGAATTTGTTGTAAGAAATTGTACCAATTATAGGTCAAATCAAATGTATTATCTTTCCCTCGCTATTAAAGAGCTCTGGACCTCTCTGCTTGCCTCACAATGTCTTTTGCCTAGTATTTTGTTAATGTACCGCTTCTTATGGCAATGACTACTCGGAGTTGAAAGGTCTTCTTCCCTGCCATCTAAGAACATTAAGCTATTTAAGGAGGAGATTTACTCTATTAGGACAGTTCATAACATTTTTTGGTTTTGTCTCACAGAAATTGTCTTAATACCACAGAAGGTCAGAGTAATTTAAGTGGAGGAGAGAACCGCGTTCAAGTCCTGAAGACGGTGCCAGTCAACCTTTCCTTGAATCAAGATCCTTTGGAGTCATCCAAAAGGGAATACAACACAAATGTGTCTGGGAGCTCGACACCCATCACGGGGACTGGAGTAACTGTGGTTAAAGCGGAGGAGTTCACCCCTGTTTTTATGACGCCACAAGCACACTATGCAAGAGGAGAAAATGAGGAGCACCGAGGGGTTATCTTTGAACCATACGAAGTGTCCAACATTGCTCCCCACACAAATTATCTCAAAGATGACCAGCGCAGTACTCCCGACAGTACCTACAGTGACACCTTCAAAGACGGAGCAACAGAAGTAAGTTTTTTCACCTCAAATTAGCATCTAAGAACTCAATAAAAAGCTGTAAACAAGATAAGGAGATTTGAGCTTGTAAACAAGGTAAGGAGATTTGAGCTGTCCACAACAGCCATTAGAAGAACAGTGATGCTTGTTTCAACAAATTCATCTCTGCTCCTTGCCATGTTCCTGTCAGTCTGCCCTCTGATTATAGGGGAGCATCATGAGGCATTTCAGAAGACAGTTTTAAAGTTGTTTATTGGAAACTCTGAGAATAATACATACTCATCTTTTGTCTTCTGGGATATTGTATCAAGTAGAGGATAGTTGCCATTCTAAAAGAAGATTTGTTTCCCGTTAACAAGGTCTGTCTTCAGACCTATTCATAACAGTAAGAAATAGCAGCTACTTTGTAACTGGGAAATTCTTAATGTTCTTCTGAATGCCCAAATGAGCAGTGTCGGCCTCTGCTGCTGGATAAACCCAAGTAATTTTTTCAGAAGCTATCTGTTGCACTAAGCTCTACTCTGCAACATGGTCAAGTGAGAAGAAGTAGTAGAATTAGGTGACTAGAGGGGAATGGAGAAGTTAACAGGTGGGGAAAGACTTGGTGCATGTATGCGTAGGGGAATGAAGAGGAGAAGGGAGACAAGGAGCTACCTTGTAACTATGTTACAGTTATGTTGAGGCAAAGTAATTACACAGTCAGCTTTAATATGGTGAGTACCCTCTGGCTGCTTTTGCCTGCTGCAGAGTAAAGCAAACAAGCCAGAAGGGTAGAAAGGTAAAAATTATTTAAAACTGACAGTACCCCTGCAAGTAATTACAGATATTAGGTGGTAAAACTCTCCTTGGATTTTTCTCCTCCAACTCTATGAAAATGTAACAAAAGTACAAGACAAGCTACGTTAAGGCCGAGTTACTCTGACTGAATATGTAAGAAATTTACTGTGTATATGTGTATTATAGAAAAGTAAATTGTCTCCACACAAGCATGGTAGATCCAGACGTCTGGAGGTGAAGTCCATTTTCAGATATAGAACGCATTTAGGTCATCTAAATGAGTAATTAATGAAGAAATCTAGCTTGCCATTGAAAAATCAGTGAGATCAAACTTTGGATTAGAAACACTGCTCTGCATTATCAAATCACATAATTTCAGCCATTTTTCACTGTTACTGGTAAATGGCTGTGTATGTGAGTTTGGTGGTACTGTACCCGTGGTTTTCCCTGGCGTGCTGTAGCTGAGTGATTCCATTACCTTGGTTTGTTGTGGGACGCATGGCTGAGAGCTACCTCAACAGCCAGTCTGCACTGTGCAAAGTGCTGTTGAATGTGCAAAGTTGCTTAACTTGGAGGTAAAAAGAAAATTTACATCTATAATTTTGTTAGATAGTAATATTTTGTTGCATGTTTTTTAAGATGATTGTTTAATAATGGGGTACAATACTTGTCATCTAGGCTTTCTCTGCAGTCTGTGGTAAGTAAATTAAATGTTTTTGACCATGTCAACCTCTGGCCTTCATATTGAATATGACTAGCATGTTAATCCGGGGCCATCTTTATTGTAATGCCCCTCAGATGTTAAATTTCCTAAGAGTAGTTAGCTTATCTATTCTACTGCTCATGGATCCTTGACTTTTGATCTTCAGGCAATATTCCTAACTGGTACATAATACCTTTGCACTTAACTAGTATCTGACTGGATATTTGTTGTGGCACAGTTGTGCCTAAGATAAAATTAAAAACTGTTTTCAAAATTGCCTGACTTCACACTTCTGGAAACAAACCAGCTTTTAATTGCTAACTGGCGATCAGAAAAGAAATCCTGGAGAGTAAATGTAATCATGCATCAGTGAATCGGAGAGACATCAGCAAAAACATGTTTCAGGCAAGAGGCGAGCCAAGAAGCAGCAGCAAGGCTTACATAGTAGAGTACGGACAGGCTTGTTTGCTCAAGAAGATGGAGTACAAATCCTTGCTTAGTCTGTGCAAAAAGATTTCATTTTCTCAGAATTTCATTTCTTGATGCAATTTTTTTTTTTGTTGATAGATGTGTTTTCATTTTTTAAAGAGTGACTGCAGGTCTCCATCTGGTAAAGTGTGCATTTTGCTCAAACAGAATCTTATATGGAAGGCAAAATACTCTCTTAGCCTGCGTCACCACTCCTGTTCAAAATAGACAGTATAGCAATCTAAATTTTTGTTAGCATTTCATTGTAGGCCTTAAGGACTGCTGACCGCACACATTTTTAAATAAAGCAAAACAAAACAAAAAGTGAAGTCTCTAGGAAAACTATGATTTCGTATGAAAATCTACTTATCTTTGAGGTGGGATATATTTTTACAGGCTTGTTTTAGAATATATTAATGTGTTGGCAAGGAGTTTAATAAGGCAGAAGATGTTTTTCAGCTACGTTCCTGTAGCAATTAGGTTACGAAAAACTTTACAAGCTTGACATAAATGAATTATTTCTGTCAATTTTAGTGTAAAGACCATGTAGGATCCACTCCAATTTTTAGGGATTTTGAGTTTTAAATGGTTGATGTTTTTTTCTGAGGGGTCATAATCTTCTTAAATAAACGTAATTCTACTTTTGTTGGTATTTGTATTTTGATTGTATCAAACTATATTTAATTGTTTTTGTTTTTCAGAAGTATCGCAGTGTGTCAGTGGGGGCTGAAGAATATATTTATGAACAAACAAGGTAAGGCATAAGCTTTGAAATGCGTTGACTGGCATCATGTAGAAATGTACTGAGGAGAGGCTGCCTGTATCTGCTTCCCACTCTCCTTTTCAGCACCCTGGGGCAGTTGCAGGGCTCCCTTGATGCTGCCCAGCATTGCTCTCCCCTTCTGTGCATGTTAGCTTTCATATCTGACTAGTTTATATCTTCGTCTATTATCTTCCCTCAGCATTGTTTTAAGTTAGTAACTCCTCTGAAGCCCCCTGGAGATATGTGAGATGAAAACTGTTAAGAGAGGTCCCCCAGGTAACAGGGCACAGCTTTGACTGCCAGGTCATGGAAAATCTTCCCCACCTTTCAGTAAGGCAGGAAGCACAAGTCAGATGTCCACGATGGTTGAACTGGCTCCACCAACCTTACGGAATTCCCATCTTTATTTTTTCCCTTCTGTTTTTTCTAGTTACACCTAGTAAGTTTTCTGAGAAACCCTCTGTCTTTTTACACTGTTTGTTGTGGAAATAACATAAATGAAGTACCTATTACAAACCATGTAAAAAAATCCTTAGAATTCCGAAAAGTTTTTTAAAAAGTTTCAAAAATTCAACTTTGGAGGAAGTAGCGTCCTCCTTGCTAAGGACAAAAAATGCATGTGTAGAATGGGCAAACGCTGCATAGTCACTTTGACTAATAAAGACTCTGAAGAGTAAAATTTGTAAGCTGATGCTTCATTTCATGCTTTTGAATAGTTCTGTTTATATCTGAGAGATTACTCTCACTTTAGAAACAGGAACATGCATACATATTTTTCCTGAAGAAGGCATATGACTGCTTCTGTAGTGGAGGTTCCTCACAGCTTGATCTTTTTTCTGAGGAATATTAAAACAATCATTAACTGCAGTGAGCTCAGAACTGAGTCATCATATAGGCAGTATGTATGAAATGGGTATTTAGCAAAGACTGCTCACTTACTATGCTGGATATTTATAAAATTGAATCCTGAAGCATTGGCATCATTAAATGGTTCTCGGACATTAAGTCTTTCATGCTATCGTCCAGGTCCACATTAGAATGAAACCTCAAAATGCACACTAAGAAAAAACAAATACACCTTTCCTGGGAGTTACCTGGAAGCGATAGGTACTCAGAAATGAAAGCTTCAGGTTGAAAAAAAGAAGTGGTGAATATGAAAGTAATTGGAAGCCTGATAGAAGATCCCTTAATGACTACATGGAACTTTAGTTAAGACTCATGGTGAGATTCAGAGTAGTGTTATAATCATTTGAGTGACTGCAATAAGTTTTAAGGGTGATAGTAATCCTCCTGCTATAGGGCACACTTTGATTGCCAGCTGGGAACAAGAAGAAAATTCCCAAGTGGCACCACACAGAGGCTGCAGAATTGGCCAGGTACATTGTGTCTGGGATTTACATTTTTTGACGTCTTTCTGAAACATCCAGAATGCTAGGAAACGGAAGACCAGACCGTGGCAGACTGTAGGTAGCTCTGTTAAGACATTCTGTATCTGACTTCAGTTCATCCTAAACTCTTCTCATCGCATATCCTTGTTAGGCCTTCTGTCTGTTGGAAGGTTTTGAGTTGCATCTCCCAGGGCTCTTGACGTGCTTTGGTATGTGTCATGCAACAGTCTTGCAGCACGCAACCTGCAGTCCCTTCGTGTGACACTAAATCAGAGGATGTGCCCCCACCGCTAATGGGCAGACAGTACATAGGACAAGCATATGCAGCAGGATAGGTGGTGGCTCTGCAGCACCAGTGATTCTGCTCTTCCATTCTGCTTGGATGGACACCGCTTGCCAGTGTTGACACAGCCTCTGTCCCCCTTGGACACAGGACAGGGGGACTGCGGCAGCGCACACCATGGTGGGTGGCAGCAAAGGGGACCACACTCCCCTTCGTGCTGTCTTCCTGGTCTGCGTGAGAGTCCTCATGTCTGCAGCAACTGCATTGTTGGGAAGTGCTGGTGCTGCCGTCAGTGAGTTGGATAGGTATAGGTTAGTGTTTGCTTTTTACCTTAGTTTTGCTTTGATTTGTAACTTTTAAGGAACTTGACTGGATTCCTGTTTATAATATAAGAAACACTTAGAAATTGCCTTCATTTGAATGAATGATTGATACTAAACTAAATAATTGATACTGAACGGTCTGAAGCTTCTTCTTTTGGACGGAAAGACAGTGGATCAGGTTATTTTTTTTTCTTCTAGCTTCTCTTCAAGTGACGATTTAAACGTTATTATTGTTCATGCATTTTAGTGATTACCCCCCCCC